GAACATATGCTGTTATTATATAATTATATTATAATAAATACATATTATAATTGCTATTTTTCCCACATCACAGTAATGAGAACAATTTTTTTTTTTAGATTGTAGTAATACATTTTGGGGCGAAAATTTGTTTTAAAAAAAAAAGTGCATGTATAAAATAAAAAAAATCTAAAAAAATAAAAAATAAAAAAAAGGCTTTATTTTCTCTACGCAAAATGTAGTAGTTTTGATTCACTTGACCTTTTTTGTGAGATTTCCACAAACGCCCAACTGTGTCTGTTTTTGTGTGATGAGATATGATTATTTGTCACATTCAAAATTCAAAAAGTTTGTTTGCCGTGCATAAGACATTCAGAAGTATTTCCCACAATTCCCTCCTATAGTTTATTTGAATTACTCTAAATGATTTATAGACATTTAATTTGACACATCTGAAAATGAGGGCGTGTCACATATTATTTGGTCCAATCACAGCGCTCGCTATCATAAGCCCCTCCCCTCGGGTCCTGGATGACCGTGTGTGTGTGTGTGTGGTGAACATGTGATGTATGCAGTGACTCTGAATGTGTGTTTTATTGAAGAAAACAGTGCTCTGTTGTACTTTATTTTAATTTAATTTTTATTTACGATGCACACAAGCTCATATCCTCCGAGCATGATGTCTGTTTCAAATACTGTAACTCTGCTCAGCTGTTTCTGCAACGGAAAACAAGTGCACTTGTTACGTGCCCTTACGCCAGCAGTGGAACTGGTGACATTTGCACTTGGTTAAAAACAAACAAATGTCTGTAATGCTCCTTCACACTCGATGTCTAACACTATAACTGATGTGTCTGCGATCACATTAGCTCGATTTAAAACACTCACATCCCCGACGCTCAACGCTGGAGTCTAAGGTGCCCAACAAGTGCGCTTGGTTTCAGATAGTGAGTGGAGGGGACAACACTTCATGGATGACTTGTGGGTGTGGCTAGCATTTAGCCACACCCCCTCAGATAATTTGTAGGTGTGGCTTGCGTTTAGCCCCGCCCATGTGACACATTTTTTGGGTGGGGCTGAGAGTGGGCACTATTGTATCGCTCAACGGACTGTGGAAGGTAATTGTCGCTAATGTATATGAGGTCTCTGTATATGTCTGCTTAATGTTTGCACACCATAAAATGTGTGAGACGTTACTTGCATTTGTCTGTCTTTTTCTTGGATTTAAAAACTGGAACGACATGTCGATTAGAGTGAGTCATATTTATCTTTATAGTGTCTGGAAAGCGTATTAAGAAAAAAAAAACAAGCTATACAGGTGAAACTGAAAAAATTAGAATATCGTGCAAAAGTTCATTTATTTCAGTAATTCAACTTAAAAGGTGAAACTAATATATTATATAGACTCATTACATGCAAAGTGAGATATTTCAAGCCTTTGTTTGTTATAATGTTGATGATTATGGATTACAGCTTATGAAAACCTTTTCACAATATTCAAATTTTGAGTTTGGGGTTTTCATAAGCTGTAAGCCATAATCATCAATATTATAACAAATAAAGGCTTGAAATATCTCACTTTGCATGTAATGAGTCTATAAATGAGTCTCAAATCTTTCCAGTTTCACCTGTATTTTCTTAATGGGATCACATGACCATTTTCGTGAGATTTGCCCATAAACTGACAGTAGGTGCGTTTCCATTACAGATTTGTGCAAAACTTTAGCGATTTATTTTTCTAAATACCGATAAAAAATTATTGCGAAATAACGGCGTTTCCATTAACCGATGTTATGCGACTAAAACATGATTTTTTCTTTTCGCGATCAGTCATTCCAAACATCATGGTGACGTTGGTAAGTTTATATATATCAGAGCCGCCGCACTAGACATTGATATTAATTGAAGGAGACGTGGCGTGTTATCTATGGAGCTAGAATTGTGTCTTTATTACATGCGAGAAAATAAATGATCTGAGAGAAAAATAAAAGTTATCACACTAATAGGAAAAATATGGAAGCTTGTTTCCGCCACTGAATAAATAAAAAAAAGTAAATAATTGCGACTTTTTATCTCACAATTGCGACTTTTTTTCTCTCACAATTGCGAGTTTACATCTCGCAATTCTGACTTTATAACACATAATTGCGAGTTTATATCTCGAAATTCTGACATCTTTTCTCAGAATTGTGAGATATAAACTCGCAATTGCGACTTAGGCCAATTCTAAGGGGGGAAAAAGACTAACTTTTGTCCCCTCAGAATAGTTTATTTCTCACAATTCTGACTCAGGGTATCCGCGGGTCCTTAAAAAGTCTTAAATTAGATTTTAAAAATTTATGGCCTTAAAAAGTCTTATTTTGACTTATGAAAGGTCTTAAATTTTCAATGGCAATTTGAGTTAGACATATCTAAATGTTTTCCTAATTAAAACTATCTAATTAGCGTACTTTTTTATTTACTATTCGTTCTTTGTGGATTTTCTCGTTCACGTGACATTTCGCGTCACATTCGCGCCAGCATTACGTCTGTCTCCTGCACGCGAAACAGCAGGAGAGGAGAAGAAAGCTGGTTAATTTCAGTTCAATTGTAAGTTCATTCTTTATGTGCGTAGTGGTGTGCGATGTGTATTGTCTATTATGATATTGTAATCATTGTTTTACTTTAACGTTAACTATGTACGAGGGCGCACTGCGAGCTGACATCGCATTGGTCTCTCATGCTTGCTTTCACTCCGTGATGTGTCAGTGCAGTTATAGGTATGTTCCCTAATAGACGTATAAAGTTTTTGTATTTTATCAGGGTCCCCGCGGGTCCTTAAAAAGTCTTAAAAGGTCTTAAATAACATTTTCGCTTTTTAAGGTCTGAAAATGTCTTAAAATCTGCAATTTCCAATAAGGAGGTCTTAAATTTCACGTACGGACCTTAAATTCCTTGTAGGAGACAACAACACATTACAGACGGTGTTTACGACCGTTCATGCTTACGGTCGGGTTGCCAGATTTAAATAATTAAATCCCCAGTCAGAGCTTTTCTGTTAAAATAACACGCTTTCTACCCGGTCTTGTCAATAGTATCTGGCAACCATGCTCGCGCGCGCTCTCTACGCTGCTGAAGAAGCGCGGATGATCTGAAAACACTGACAAGTAAGCTGGAGTTCAGTGATCTTCATTTGAGATTTTCTACTTACATTAATTAAAGTGTCATTCAGTTGGTCTTTATTCTGTCACGAGCCGCTTGCGCTGTTTGTGTGACTAAATCTGCGATCAATACAGGCTGATATCCAGCAGTGTTTTTAATGTTGATCATATTATTGCATATTATTGCTATTTTGCAACAAAAGCCACGGCAGCAGACAGTGGTGATTCGAGAACGAATCTGTGGCTTTGAACGAATCGTGAGATTCAATGACCCGTTCATAAATACAGCCACTTGCTTTGTTACCATAGACTGTTGTGTTTGATGCTGAATGAATGAATGACTCGATGACGGATGACTCACTCATAAAGACAGTGACTTACCGCCACCTACTGGCGATTTTAATTTAATGTTAAAAAGTATCACCTCGTTTTTACCATCATTGCATATTTATTGAACATTGTTTTATTTAAAGCATTATTTCTTTTATAAAAGTATTTATAAAGGTAAAAAATTAACTGGAAAAAATCGATTAAAAGGGGCAGATATTGTCCCTTAATGGAAAAGGTGTGACTGCAGTCTAAGTGCAAGAGGGGTTACGGCACTCTAAAAAATTGGAGTACCACTGAACTAAGGAACAGGGATATGTAGAATTGCACAAGTGCTACTGCTAAAGAGTTAATTGTCAATACAGCCTGTTACCTTGATTCAAATGTCTCATAAGCTTAACTGAATTGGCCTAAAGCAAAAAATTATAATGTCATTTTTTGTCTAAAGACGACATATAAAATAGCTGCCAAAATTAATGTCGGTAACTGAAGTTTGACTAAAAGTTGACAAAAAAATGCAATGACTTTGTCAACTAAAACTAGACTAAAACTATGAAAGAGAAAATTACAAAAATGTGACTAAGACCAATAAGCATTTTCATCTTAAAGCAACACCATGTGATTTTTCCTCAGCGGTCGCCCTACAGTTTGGAAGCAGAATTGTCCATTACTGCTGTCGTAAATAATTTAGCCTTCCGCAGCCGACTGTCGCACGCGCACGCTCGCTGTTTATCCAGCACCGGCTTTGGAATCAACAATGGCAGACATCCCAACCTGCAAGAAGTCATTTCAGGGAGGTATATCTTGGTGACTGGATTGTTGACGGGGGGGCGGCTGGTGGCGGGTTGACTAGCTTTTATCACGCAATTCTGACTTTATATCTCGCAATTCTGACTTTATATCACGCAATTCTGACTTTATATCACGCAATTCTGACTTTATATCTCGCAATTCTGACTTTATATCTCGCAATTCTGACTTTATAACACGCAATTTCGACTTTATATCACGCAATTCTGACTATATCTCGCAATTCTGACTTTATATCTCACAATTCTGACTTTATAACACGCAATTGCGACTTTTTTTTTGCGAAAATGTCCTATTTCGAATTGCCTGAAAAACCTCCTCATGCGAGCGAAAAACTTTTTTGCGATAAATGGGAGTTTTCGCGAAATTTACGTGTTTCCATTGTGCGCATTTTCAATTTTCAATTTCAATTCGCGCAATTTGAAGGGTAATGAAAAAGCGGCTAGTGTCTATTTTCGTACGATGAGATCAGATTATGTTGCAGATGTGTATGTCAAATCCAAATATAGTTCCTAGCGTGATTTCGGATGCAGTGAAAGTTTCGAGCTTCACTCTGAAACCAGCAGCGCATATTTTTATTTACCGGCAACTCGTCAAAATAAAAGCTCTGCGTTTCTGTTTGAAAATTAATAAATCAAGGTATATCAATTAGTATTGTAATTTTACAGTAAAATAAAAAGGTTTAAATTTTTTTTTAATCATTATTATTCATACTGAACTGGTCAAAAACACCACAACCACTTCAACACTAGATTTTTTTCTACTTGGAAATAATTTTCACTCAGAAATTGCTTGTAAATTTCATAAAAATAGTTGAAATAAAAAAAGAAACATTGAATTAAATGTGAAATTTTGAAGTAGAAAAACTGAAATAGTATTTTCTTGTAAAACACTTACAATAATCTTTGTTTACAATTTCGAAAAGCATTTTTTATTACACTGAAGCTTTTCCTAAATGGTTCAGCCCTTAAAGGACAAAAGTAAAATCCTGAGTAAAAAGTAATTTTTCAGCTTTTTTGAATTATTATTATTTTTCTTTTCTATGAAGTCGAAACTCCCCAACAAAATCACCCAACTCATTCTGGAATGATTAATTCTTTCCAAGCCATAGAGTTTATGTAAGTTATCATCTGAAAATACCTGTATTTCTTTTAATATCACAATATATATTGCAGAAAAGCAAAAAATATATTAATCTCAGTTTTTTGTTAATATTGCCCCAAAAAAGGTATTCAAAAGTATTTCTCACATTTCCCTGCTATAGGTGATGTGTGTGTGAGTTTGTCTGGCGTTTCTCGGACCCTGACAGCCGCTCAGAGTGTGTGTACGTGAGACGCGAGCGATAAGAGGGTCTTTTCTCTGTGTGTAATCCGTGCGCTGACATCAGCACTGAGACTGAGACTGCTGACACTGACTATCACAGATCGGTTTATCAGCCCAGCGCTCAGTGTCTCTCTCTCTCTCTCTCTGTCAGCCAGTCTCTAACCCACTACACCACCTCTCTCTCTCTCTCTCTCTCTCTCTGTCAGCCGGTCTCTAACCCACTACACCACCTCTCTCTCTCTCTCTCTCTCTCTGTCAGCCAGTCTCTAACCCACTACACCACCTCTCTCTCTCTCTCTCTCTCTCTCTCTCTCTGTCAGCCGGTCTCTAACCCACTACACCACCTCTCTCTCTCTCTCTCTCTCTCTCTCTAAATAGCAACAAACATGAAATGGAACGTTCCAGTCCTGTCTTCTGATTGGTCGATCCAGTGTTCCATTAACTATTAACCTTAGTGTGTGTGTGACACTAACCGACACTACTAGATCCAGTAGTAAAAGATGACACCAATCAGTCGGATTCAGAAAATAATGTTCCTAAATATGTCTTCTGAAAACAATAACATACCTGTAACATTTTACAATAAGCTTGCATTTCTTAACATTAGTAAAGATGAACAAAAACTGTAACAAATACAGTCAAATTATTATTCAGACCTTCGACATTTCTCACTTTATCACAGTTTATTCGCTATAGTTTAGAAAATGGTAGTAAAATATGAGCAGAACTCAGAGTTATTAGATCAGCTGATATTTGACTGGTTTTGTCCGTCCTTCTGTTAGACTCTCACACATGAATTATGTTGAATATCTGTCAGCTGTTAAATTTAACTACACAATTATATAATACCAGTTTAGCTCAACCAATCACCAAGCAATGCTTCATGTTGTTCAGTCTGTGTGTAAAAAGAGCATTAGCAATTACAGAAAAAACACTGAAGAAAACATGATGTCGGAATCATTTTTGGTCCCAAATGTTTATAGATATTACTGGTAGTCACTGTATGAAGAATTATTGGGTATAATATGTCACAGTTTACTTTATTTTGCTCTCCTCACTTACATAAATGATCTATAGTGTCCTGTACACACTAGTAAACAAATATCAAAAATGATATCTGGTGTCTGAATATTGCTGAATTTGACTGTATATTGCTCATTGTTAGTTAATGAATGAACTAATGGGACCCTTATTTCTTAATGCATTTCCTTGTGATTGTCACAGGTGTGATATAACAATGATTTCCGAGTGATACACATTTGATTGGATTAGTTGTGCGTCTTCATTTCTTCTGCACGCTAATCTCGCTGACGGTAGAGAACTGAGCCACGGCTGACCAATGGCTAGGCGGTGGGCGGAGTCACAGGTTACAAATACTGGCCCTGAACATCACCGTACACACACACACACACACTTTACCCGGACACACTACAGCATCTGCATCTGAACACAGACAGGTGAGTGTTATGGATGGATGGATGGATGGATGGAGGGATGGATGATGGAGAGATGGATGGGTGGATGAAGAGATGGAGGGATGGAGAGATGGGTGGATGATGGAGGGATGGATGGATGATGGAAGGATGGGTGGATGAAGAGATGGAGGGATGGATGGATGGGTGGATGAAGAGATGGAGGGATGGATGGATGGGTGGATGAAGAGATGGAGGGATGGATGGATGATGGAGGGATGGGCGGATGAAGAGATGGAGGGATGGATGGAGGGATGGATGGATGAAGAGATGGAGGGATGGATGGATGATGGAGAGATGGATGGATGGGTGATGGAGGGATGGATGGATGGATGGATGATGGAGGGATGGATGGATGGGTGATGGAGGGATGGATGGATGGATGATGGAGAGATGGATGGATGGGGGATGGAGGGATGGATGGATGGATGGATGGATGGATGATGGAG